TAAAATATTTTTTTAACTCATTTTTACTTAAAATTTTAAATATTTCGAATTCAAATAAAAATTCATTTATATAATATTTAAATATTTTAAATGTCATACCAAATATTCATTTATAATAAAAATTCAAAATTTTCAATTTCATAAGTTGCTATACGTGACTTCATTTTTTAATTTTCATAATATTTTGATAATTGAATTAAAGTATCTCTTACTTTGACGCTTGAAACTTTATTGTTTTAACATTTTTAATTTTACTTTCCCATAAATGTGAGATAAAGATTTAATAGAACATTTGCATATAATATATTGCAAAATTTTCCATCATTTGGTACATGAAGCAAATAAAAAATAAATATGTAGTACAACTGAAAAAAAAAAAACTCTATTAAATGAATTCGCCATGTCACATAAAACTATATTCAAATTATGGCATCTACATTATGTATAAAATGCCCTTAGATTTATATATAATACTATCTTTTGCACTCCTTGATTTTTATCCCTCATGTTAGATCCATTGTCATAAGATTGTCCCCTTGGATCATCAATATCAAGTTCATATTTTTTCAAGACATTAATAAGTTCATTAAAAAAAAAATCCCTCATGTATGGTCAACTTTTAAAAATTATAAAAAGTATTCATTTGTTTTTATTGGAGAATTCATAATGTCTATGCATCTAATAATAAGAGTCATTTGTTCCTAATGACTTGCATCAAGAGTACAATTAAGAATAATAGAAAAATATTTTGTGTCTTTAGTTTTTTTATTATTTGAAAGGCAAACAATTATATAAGTTCGTTTTGTATAGTATTACTCAAGTAATGAGCCTAAATTTCATCATTCTTTGTGTGCCTGACATGTTCTTGTATAATCGGATCAAATTTCGCAAGCATTTTAATCAAACTCAAAACGTTACCAATATTTTTTTTCATATATTTTTTCATTTGTTCCACGAAAAGCAAGATTATTTTTAGAAAAATGCTTGACTATAACAATAATTCCTTTTCTTTATTAATTTGTTCTTGTTATTTTTTTATCTATTGTATTTGTTTTCCTCAATCTCTTTTCTAATTCAATCCATTTATTCATATTAGTGATATGCTCAAGACTTGTTTCATGACTTTTGAGCTTGGAGTCAAGATTTTTCCAATCTATAGTTCCTTCATTTACTAGTTGACTAATACCACTCGAACAAAATAACTTACAACAAAAACAACATACTTTATCTAAATCTCTAGAATAAATTAGCCATTTTCTATCATACTTTTCTCCACTTGGCAATATTCTTTGATAAAAAATGAATAAAAATGTCTATTATTTTTATCTTTTGGAAATTGAAAATTATCATGTCTAATTGGACCCTTTTCTATCTTTAATTCTCTAAATTTTTCATAAATATTTTTTCATTGTCGTTTATCAAAAATATTTTTAGGAAATTGACTTGATGTGTTATGCTAAATATTTACTTCTAATAAATTATCTTTATTTATATTTTTATTTACTTGCACTTGATCAAGACTATTAATATTTTCAATATCATTTACTAGTGATTTTCCTCTCACTTTTTCTAAATTTGAACTTCTTGTTATATCTATGTTATTGACAGTAAGAAATTTATCAAGAACGCCCGTTAAAATTGAATTGATTTAACTTTTCTACTTTTCTATTTTTTTTCTCAAATTTTTAAAATCAAATTCATACTTTCTATTTGACATTTTATACTACTACAACTTAATGAAATATAATAAAATAAAATAAACAAGTAAACCAAAAAATAAAAACAAGCATTACAAAATAAAAAAGAGAAAATGATGAAATGATAGAACCTCGAAATGATAAGAATTATATGTTGATATTATTCAGATCAACAATTTAAGATCAATTATCCACTTTAACAATTCATTTTAAGTTTTCAAAGAATACAAAAATGTTTAAAAGGGAAAAAAAATGAGAAGATCAATGGAATTTAAGATAAAAAATTATTAAATATGTAAGATATATAAAAAAAAATAATACCCATTATTTTTTTCTTACTATTTCAAACATGGTTTTTAAAATAGTAACACTATATAAAAATAAGGTATAATATTAATTAAAAAATAGTACAATTAATTATTAATTTTGGGATATCAAGATATATTTCATGACATTCATTTACCCCTCATATTTAACCAACATTAATTTACAAGAGAATAAATTTTTTAATTTTTTTTTAAAAACTTTTTACATGATTAGGGATATTAAAGATTCTAAAATTTGTAGAGCTGTCAAAATGGACTTGACCCGGTGAGCCAACCCGGCTCACCACGGGTTCGAGCTGGGTTGGGTTGAAAAAATTTGAAAATTTTAATATGAGTCAGATTTGAACCCGGCTCACTAACAACCCGGCTTACCCGGGTTGAACTCGTGGTGAGCCGGACTGGCCCACCAACCCGTGATTAAATTTTTTTTGAAAAAATATAATAATTATTGGGCCATGGTGCAGTCCAACATGAGACAATAATGATTTAATGTTGGATTGTGATTTGTAATTTTTATGATTTTGAATTGTATTTGAAGTTTAAGATGATTTTGGATTATATTTGAAGTTTAAGATGATTTTGGATTATATTTATCTATTTGAGATTATTTAGATTTGATTTGATTGTATTTAAAATTATCATTTAATGTTTGAGATAAATGATTTATTTATGGATGTCTTAATTAAGAATCTCATATTTTTAAAATAAGTTTAAATTTTTGGGCTTTAGTTGTATATTAAGAAAAAAAAATGAAAAAAATTAATTTTTTTTAAAGGTAAGTCAACCCGTTTAACCCACCAACCCGTGGTGAGCCGGGCCGAATTTGATTTTTTTGAACTCACTGATAAATAAGTCAGGTTAGGTTGGCCCACCAAATGACCAACCCGTGGTAGGCTACAACTCTAAAAATTTGGGACCTAAGACTCTTACCGCGATGACTTTGCTAGTCACGTGGCCCGTATCTACTTGTACATCCGCCATTTATCTAACATCTAAGACATTGGAAGGTGAGACCGTGAGAGGGAAGAGTGGACAAGGGAAAATTTGGAAAATGAGAAGAAAAATGAAAAATGAAAAAGGAAAAGGAAAAAAAAGAAGTTAAACCGTTAATGTAAATTTAGTAAGATGTAATGGATAAAAATCACAAAGCAAAACTGCTTTATGTTGTGCTTTAAAAAATAAAATGTACTAACAATGTAAAATAATAAATGTAGCCATTTAATTATGGATTTTCATATAATTAAAAATTATTAACTTTATAATAATTAATATAGAGGTGATTTTTTTAATTAATTGATATTATAATTTTTTTTACACAACTTATTAAAACTAATTCAAAATTGAGTTATAAATCAGTTCAACTCTATTTTGGTCAAAATGTTTTTATTTTAAAATTTGCGTTTAAATTATAAATAAAAAATAAAAATTCATAACTACCCTTCCCCTCAATTCCTTAATTTTTCAAAAAGTTTTGTTTGGATAAACATTTTTAGAAATACTTCTAGAAATTTTTTTTTCATAAATTAAAACTAGTTTCTACATAAGTTAAAAATAAGTTTTTAGATAAATTAATAAAAGAAATTTCTACAAATTAACTTAGACATAGCTAATTTTAGCATAGAGAAGTTTATTTAATTTTTTCTTTCTCATATGTACTTGCAGAAAATATGGCTAATTCAAGATAAAACTAATCCCTGAGCCTGGTCTTGCATCAGAGTTTTTGGGTGAAGTGACTAAAGGAAATCCCTTATATATTCTTCCACGGGCACATGTAGTTTTCTGTGCTTAAATTTGTCGCCAAAACAAGTTATTTTTTCATATTCATTCTACATTAAAGATGTTGGCATTTATGATTCAATATGACAAGCCTATCCAGTTTTATTGCCAGTTATGATATGTTGGAGTTCAAGATGATCAAAGCATTCGCCCCCATGTGGTTGCTCCGACAGAGTAAGAGTTGTTACAAGTCAAGATGGAATCTTACCTCCTACCCATAAAAGAATCGATTTTGATTTTAAAACAAGTTCATTAGTTTTTCTTATTTCATTCTTGAGTGTTTTGATGGACAATTTTTTCTCATTCTCGAAATTACTAAAAGGTTTGTTATATTCGTGCGTGTTTGGTTTCACGTTTGAAACGTGAAAAATCATGTTTAACGTGGAAGCTACAATGTATAGCTTCACGTTAAACGTGAAATCACGTTTCAAACGTGAACCAAACAGGCTTCTTCATTTCAAATTGGAATTACGTTACTTTTATTCTATTTATTTCTCAAATTGACTTGATCTTGTGTTTTGCCTGAAACTTCTTTTTTTTTTTTTGCATCTTTTTATTAACAAAAACAAGAAAGAAGTAGTTCAATTTTGAAAATCAATCCGTATAATAAATTTAGAATTTGACATAAAATCAAACCATGTATACTTTTTGTCGAGAACATAAATTCTCATTTTCAAAACAATAGATGGACAAAAGAAATGCTCAGCCTCTTCTTGATAAATAGAAATTTTGCATCCAATATTTCGATGAAATAAAAAAAAAATCATTATGCAAGATTGAGCCTTGGTTATTCTGACTTCGTTTCCAACATCCAATGACATACTATATGTTGTTTACTCTCTTTTCTGTTTTGAAGAGTGTTTATTACAGATTATCTAACCCAATCTTTTCATTTTGTACACTTTATTTTTAATTAAAATTAATTAAAAATTACAAAATCATGAGTGGACTTATTAAATGAGAAGTCAAACCCACAAACTTTCATGATGTCTAATAAATTTTAATCAAATAAAAAGTATGTTGTTAAAATACTTTTTGTCTGTTTTTTTTTCTCAAAAAATAAAAAATCATATAAGATGGAGCAAACAAGTACTCCCGGCTGATGGAACGTAGAGAGAAGGAAAATAGAGGAAACAAATACCAATAAAGAAAAATAAAAGAAGCTAGTAAATCTCAGAACACATGGATTATGAACAAAATGAATGCAGGGTAAACAATGAGATATATAAACATGTTCAAGCAAATTTCCATCTGAAGCAGTCACTTTCTTATATCTCGCGTGCACACTTGAGCACATACTCATTGATACAGATAGACAGAAATATAGACACAGATTAGTTTGAAGTTTCACCAGCAGGTCCATGTCTTGCGTTCAACAAAGGTTGAAGAGCTTTCACTACAATGCTCATGTTAGGTCTGAAATCAGCTTCATATTGCACGCACAGAGCAGCAACAGCGGCCATCTGTAATTAAGAAAGTATTTTGCTGTTAATATTGGTCTTAGTTCATTTCAACTAACAAATTTATCCAATAAAATTTTTCCAAAAGGAATAATATAACAAAGTTTTAGATTCAAGTTTTGGCTTCATGCAAAGCATTTACTGACTGGACAGTACACAAGATATAAGAATTATGCAGGTATCTATTGTAGGCTACTTTTGATCAGTTTGTTTTGTTGATTCACAGGCTTATATTTCAAAGTCCCCACACAACACCTCATCAAGGTAAAATGGCAAATGGCATGGTAACCAAAACAAGAAATAAAAAAAAAATTAAAAAAAACTCTCCAGACTATTTTATTAGACTCAATCACCTAATTCATCAGGATTCAAAAAGTTGGTTAATTTAGTTGATACCATTAAATTTGTACTAATTCTTTTTTCAAAATTAACTTTAACATTAGTAAGATTTTTACTTTACCAACTGCTTATTGAATTAAGCGATTTAATTAAGAGTATTTTTTGTGAAAAAATAATTAATCCAAGACAAATTAAAGATTGGTTCTTATAAAAAGGACCAACCAACACCTTTTATTTGGGTATTATTATAAAATGGACCGGAGAGGAGGGAGTATACTAAAACACAGTGAATACCTTAGCAACAGCTTTGGGCGGGTATTCTCCTCCGAGTCTTCCATCTACACACTGTCTGACTTTATCCTCACTGAGTCTTGGTGTAGCCTGAAACACGACTTACTGCGATCAGCTAGCTGGCCTACATTTTAAATTTTCTCCGTTACTGACAACAGGAAATTATATTGCAATGATGAGATTTGCATTTACCCAAGTAACCAGGCTCTGCTGCCCACGTGGTAGTGTATGATCTACAGGCTTCCTTCCAGTCAAAAGTTCCAGAAGGACAACGCCAAAGCTGTATACATCACTCTTAGCATTCAATTGACCAGTCATTGCATACCTGCATTCATGAGATTAGACAGATCAATGGATTGTAGTCAAGGTACTTGCCAGGACACTAACTAAAATACAAAATATATAAGAATAGTTTTATTTTTCCAAATTGATCATTTGTTAAAATTAATAAAGAAAAGGAAAAGTTCCAACTACTTTTTTAATAAATCTTCACCTATTATGCTCAAAACCAAGAAGTCTATGATAAGTTAACCAATAGGGCTAAAATAAAGCATGTCATACAATATCTCTTGAAAATCTGATATGCACATCTTACTCTGGTGCATGATAACCAAAGGTTCCAAGGACACGGGTGGAATGGAGACGTGCCGCCATGTCAGGAGCCTGATTTGACAAATCAAAATCTGCGATTTTAGCCACATCATCATCAAAGATTAGTACATTGCTTGACTTGATGTCCCTGTGGATAATGTGGGGATCAGCTTTCTCATGCAAGTACTCAAGCCCTTTAGCAGCCCCTACAGCAATTTTAACTCTTTGTGTCCATGTTAGAACAGGACCAGGCTGTGCTCCTTTAACGCCTTTTCTGCCTGCATATAAATGACAATGATAAGAACAAAACAATGTATGATGAAAAAAAGGAATACAATAAATATATCCTTTTAGCAGTACCATTGCTTGTCATGGCACAAAAAAGTAAAACTAACATCAAAATCCAAAACATCCACAATTCCTCTAATACAGGAAAATAATTTGACAAATGTTCATAGGTGTCAATAGTTTCCTGAAGCAATACCACATACCATGTAAAATATCATGAAGAGACCCATTGGATGCAAACTCATAAGCAAGAACACGGGAGTTTCCATCAATGCAATAACCAAGCAATTGAACAAAATTTTCATTCTTCAGCCTTGAAACCATTGAAACCTGAAAATTAAAAAGCCAAGTGAATTATTGACAATTCAATCAGAACAACCTCAATGATGAGACAGTAAGCCTAGGTCGACACCAACCTGGGCCAAAAATTCCTCATCAGGCTGTTTACTGGCATCTAATTTCTTGATTGCCGCAGCCTGCCCACTCCTCAGAACACCATAATATACTCTTCCATAGGATCCCTCTCCAATCAAAGAACTTTCTCCAAAACTATCTGTAATTTCTTTGAGTTCATCCACCGATAATTCAGGAACTTCAATGGGCTGAATTTTAACAGTTTGAGTACCCTGCTTTGCAGTTTCAGAGGCACGACCGTTTCCATCACTTCCTGCATGGTACAATTTATCCCATTAATTACAACAAATTCAATTTCGGTAATACAACATCAAACAAATTAACAGAATGAAGTATCATAAGACAGCTCTTAAGAAAGTGGATTATAGTCTAACTTAACCTTACAGAATTAGTTTGTAAGGTGAGGGTTCATCACTTATATACATTATTATGATCTTATCTTTAGTCATTATGGGATCTCCAACAACAACATCTACACAACTAAATCCCCTACTAATGTTTCAATCCAATTCAAATGAAAATGCCATTTAAAGATGCATGATTGCTCTGGGGTTGTATTGTGAGTTCTGACTACTGTATATCATCCCGGGGGCACTTCTCAAGCTAATATGAACTCAATTACCTGTTGTGTTTTTGATCAGATGTTGTCCTCCGCTTTCAGCAGTCTTCTGGAAGTCATCTTCTTCACAACAGCTGAAACAACTCATGATTCTTTCCGCTGATAATAATTCACAACTCCATCAGTTCACACTGGTTAATAGCTAACCTATCAAGCTTGAATATAAAATACAACTTCCATTTAGATTTTCGTTGCCAAAAAGAAGATAGATCATGGCAACAATCGCAACATTGAACAATTCAAAAGAAATAAATAACGTATTTGTGGGTTTTAGTTTGTCCAATTACATTGATTACTTTTACTTATTCACCATAGTTTTTATCTTGAACCAGTAATTGAACCTCCATTCCATCCATACAATCTGTGCATGAAAACTTTACAACACCGGCATCAGTGTTTCCGCCACACACACGCACAAACTTTCAATTGGCAAATAAATCGGAACAAATGAGTTTTCCGTCAATCAGAGTAAAACAGCAACTGACATCGAAGCCCACAGTTACGGATCAGTCTAAAACAAAAGCAACTATTACATGTCCATCACAGATTTTGGAAGAAAAAAAATGCTCATTCATTAAAAAAAAAATCTCAAAAATAAAAGTAAAACAGTGAAATTAAAAAAAATAAAAAAGGTTAGAGGCATTGAAGAGTGTATGATAGATGAAGGAGTACCTGGAATCGAATAGAAATAGTGTAGCTAAGAGAGTGAGAGCGGCGAGGAGATAGTTGAAGATCTCAGCCTAGAAACCGGCGAAATATGCGCAGGATAAGCGGCGACGAGGGCGTACGATAAAGCAGTCCAAGTTTTTGACTAATATTGGAATTGAAATGATTATTATTAGGTGAGCGTAAAGAATCTAATGCATTTATTACGTATATACAAAAATCTTAATCCAACTAATCATGTCACATTACATCCCACAAACACAAACGCAATAATGTAAGAAAACTTTATTTTAAATGTTTTTTCTTTATAGTTTCGTTTACATTCTTTATTAATTTTATACTATTTTTTTATTCATGGTATTTTAAAATATATTTTGTAAGTCTTTATATTTTTTTTTTCAATTTAGTGCTTATGATTTATTTTATATTAACATTTGTATTGGGATGACATATGAAAATTACTTTATGTTATTTTTAAATTGCAGTAATTTTTCATAAAATTTAGAATCTTTGTTTTATTTTTATGTTTTTCATATTTTTATACACCTTTAATAGAATATAAGTTTTAAAACAACTATTTTTAATATGTTAAAATATAAAATATTTATTTAAAAATTTAAACGCATCAATTATAATAAATATTGGATGTTAAGAATATGATAAACAATTGTATATTTCATTTTATTTGTTTCATCTTACAGTCGTTACTTTATTTTACAAAATTTGAAACAATAACTTTTTTGAAAATATTTTTTTTATCAAAAAAATAATATTTATTATTATTAAAATTTATAAAAAATAAGATATCTAAAATCGTCTTTTAACTTAATATATATATATATAAAGATATTTAAAAAAATAAAATCACATAAAAAATAAGAGAGACTAAAGAGCGAATATATATATATATATATATAATTAAATAATAATTAAAAATATATTTTAAAATACAAGACTATAAAAGAAAATAAATAAAATTATAAAGATAATAATATGTTTAAAGCTAGTCTCTAAATTTAAAGGGAAACCATATGCGTAAAATAAAATTATATATCAGTTTTCTATCTTTCAATTACATTATTTATTACATTTATTAATGATGAAGAGAAATATTATTTATTATATGAATTATTATACATGTATTATTACTCAAATTTAAATACTTATATTAATTATTGTATAAATTATTATACATGTATTATTAGTTAAATTAAAAAACCTTCATTTTGTTATTTCACAATTTTAATTATTTTTAATTTTAATTTCCTTTTTAATTTGTATAACTTTTTTATCATTATGTAGTTCATAAATATTACTGATACTAGTTTGATGATTTATTTGTTAATGCATCAATAAATACATTCACTTATTGGTGGTATGAAAAGAAATTAATAATTAATATACCTAAAAATGGACACGTTTTTTTATAATTAGAACAAAAAATGTAAATATTTATTTTTTATGTTAATGCTCATTGTAACACTATTTATAATTGACTAAATGCTTAATTTGGTCCCTCATAATAATAAAAAAAATTAATTTGGTTCCACTTTATTTTTTTTTAATTTAGTTCTCAATAATTTAAAAACACATCAATGTGAGACTTTCATCCAAATTCTACAAACGGTATTAAATGTGGACGACGTGGATGTCACGTAGATGCGTAGGTCCACATTTAACACCGTTTGTAGAATTTGGATGAAAGTCCCACATTGATGTGTTTTTAAATTATTGGGAACTAAATTAAAATAAAAAATAAAGTGAGACCAAATTGAAATTTTTAATTATTATGAGGAACAAAATTAGGTATTTAGCCTTTATAATTATTATTTTTTTGTAAAAAAATAATTAATATAGTTTAAATTATTTTGGAAGAATATTTACATATTAATTTGTTTACGTGAATATTCGTTACGATGTCCTATAGGTGAAATTTTGTTTACGTGAATTTTGTGAAATAAATTTTATTATAATTTTGTATTTATACTTATTTTAAAAATTTTGCAATTAAAAATTAATATAATTAATGTCTTAGTATATCATTGTTGTTTCAATTTCCAATATTTAATGTTTTTAAATAATAATTCAAAAATTATTTATTTGAAAGAAAATAATATTGCAGAAGTTGTTACTTTTTAATTTTGTTTATTTATTTTTTATTTATTTTAAAATTACTCATAATTAATAATTATATAGATATTGTTTTATTATTTTATTATATTGTTACAATTTCATTTTCTTATAATTAAAGATTTAAAAAAAAGAGATTAATTATAAGAAAAAACTCCTATAATTTTTTTTATATAGAAATCTTGGGAGAAATAATGCTTTAAAAGTTGTTAGGAAAGAAATAACACTTCAAAAGTTTTTTATTCTTTTTTTATCATTTATATTTACATTAGATTTGTCCATAATTAATAAATTGTTGTTTTATTATGCTTTTTTTTAAATATTATTTATGTCGTTACAAATTCAATTTTCTATAATTAAATATTGTAAGTCAATTTTTATTATAATTTTTTATGCATGAAATATTCTTTAGTGAATTTTGTGAAATAAAATTAATGTAATTTTTTTTATTTATATTGCATAAAAAAAATGAATTTATGTTACAATTTTCTGTAGGTGAAGTTTTTCTTACGAAAATTTTGTGAAATAAAATTTAACATATTGTTTATGTTTATTTAAATCTGTTGATAATAAATAAATAATATAATTAATATTCTATTATGTCATTACAGTTTCAGTTTGTTATAAATTTTTTTCTAAGAAATCTCATAAATAAAATAATATTATGAAAAGAAATTATTATATGTAAGTAAATTTTTATAAAAAATATATTGCACAAAAAATTTATGACAAAATTGTTTGCTTTAATACAAATAAGATAAGTTAATCGTCAATGTAATTTGACGAAAAATATTTTTTTTTGACACAATATAAACAAATGTTTTTATCACTTACTTTTATATAAGGGAATTTCGAGATTTATCGACAATAATGTATTATTATTATTATTATACTTTAATTCACTTATATTCTGAATTTGATTTTTTTTTATAAATTTTTTATAAATATGAAACAGTCTTTATACTTATTATCACTTTTATATATAGTCACGTATCGTGTCTTATTTTGAGATGCATGTCTTATGGCTTCTTATATTAATTTTTTTTAATGGATTGTCAAAATTAAAGAATTATTTTATTTTCTTATTTATAGTTTTAATATGTTGTTTTCATTTACCATTTATCGATGTTTGGAATTTTGAATAAGATACGAGATATTTATTAATTGAACATAATTTTTATATCCTCTTTGCCTCTTTTTATTGGTTCT